ATACTACGCTTTTTAATGCATTTTTGTTAACAAACAAAGATTTGAGATTTAAAGAGGTATAAACTATATTAATTGTCATCCATTAGTACCTAAGAGTGCAGTTATACACAGTATAATAGGTTTCTAATTGGGTGTTTTATTTTTTATATAAATAAAGGTATGGATGGGGAAATATTGAAGATTAAAACTTCGACTCAATACCATCAAGCATTTTATCAGGGTTTTTAAGAAAACAGCTATATAAGACATTGTGTTTGAAGAAATCCGAATCACCACCGGAACTAGTGCCAAAATTATACACATTCATTCGTTAGAAAAGAGCCTAGTGCAAAACTTTGAACCACCCCTAATCTACTAAAGGGTTAATTTCAACCTTTAACATATTTAATTTCAGTTTACACACTTAATTTTTCCAAAGCAATAAGGAATTTCCATAAAAATTACTACAAATGCACAGCAAGTGAACTGAACAATAACAAACTTGAAATAAAACAATTGATTTGTATTTGAATTTCTTGATTAGAGTTTGATATTTTAACACACATCTTACCTTTCTAAATAATAATTGTGTGTTTTAGTAAGTAGAATGATTAAATAAATGCCAGGTACTTAGAATGGTTAAATAAATGTATTAATATTATAATTTTGTTATTGAAATCCTATTATGTACGTAGGCTCTATGATGTGTTTGTATATTTTTGATTTATTATAATGGTATCCCTTTAGTAATTTATTCTACATGTCATAAAGTCCAAAACAAAGGAACCAGTAACATTGTTTAAACATCGCAGGCTAAATTAATATCTAAACTTAATAATATAAGAATTACACATCCATATTTTTTTCTTAAAAGTTTTACACAAACTATCTGATATTTTATAGTATCAAATTAAAAATTATAATTGATAAGAATGAAAGGTAATATACATAATGTATTTTGATTTCTTTGACAGTTCAGGATGTTATGTTCTCTCAAAACTAAATAATTGGTTTTGTATAGTGCATAACCCTGCAATGTAAAAGTACGATCTTTGAATAAGGCCATAATAGAGTTGGCACACCAAGATCAGATCTTTTAAATCATTTATAAACTGGAAAAGACGAACAATTTTGTCAATATGAATTTGCAATACACGTCAGCGTAGGTCAGGAAAATGTTAGTTACATAGAACGGATAACGGGTAGAATGAGGATAGACTAGGTATATCGCCACCTCTACAATATTTATACACCGCAGGATCGAGTTTACTGGAATGCTATTAACAAGGTTGCAAAATATTTATGGACAATTCGTTCTCATGGGGGTAAGGGTAAAAATGTTTAGAGTCCATTATACCCAACAAAACTATCTTTAAAAATGGGATTTCGTTTTACTTTTATGAGATTATATCAATATTACAAATTACTATTAGTTCAACTCTGCTGTTTTTTTATATGAATACAGTAATGTAGTGAACAATACCCACACATGGTAATGTTTTGATGTTCACTTCAAACAAATCATTACGCCAGCAGAGTTACCAAGAAGATACAAATACGATCTAGTGTTCCCACATGCAATACCACTTTAGTCAGTACACACACTCTATTCTACCTATTACAATGATTTGCTTACAATCTCCATTAAGAGATTACAAGCAACACGCCAGCTCAGCTGTCGCCGATGCTTGGTTAAGAACGTTTGCTGTGTAACTGTTATATACAATCACTATGAACATCAATCAATCAGTATAAGTATCCAATAAGCATTTTGTTAACGTTATTCTCCCCAACCCCAACAGTTTTTAGTTGTCAAAGCTAAAAATACGTTACCTATGTCCGTTTTTTAAGTAGCCGTTTCAGTTAGGTTCTTAGCATTGAAATGTTTCACATAACAGCATTTTTACTTTTTTACTACTGGTTACACTATAATATTCAACGTATAAAATTGTTGTGTTTTTTTCCAAAATCCAAAACTGGTGGACAAATATTTGTATTGTTTTAACCCATGGGTTAAAGGAGGAAATATCTTTAACTTCTTAAAAATTAAAATTAAATTAAAATAACCTAGTTAATTTTGTTACACACGTGTAAAAGGGCAGCAGCTGATTTAGCAAATAAATAAATAAACAGGCGACGAATGTGTAGTATTCCATAATTTTGAAAATTAAGAGACAGACGAAAATTATTTCTTCCAAAAAAAAACAAAAAAAAAAAAAATTAAATTGATTTTATCTTACCTTGTTGGTGAACTATTATTGTATACAATTGTAATCTTTCAGTGTAACAAAATCTCTACTATAATAATTTAACATAATTTTGTGTTCCTATTTTCTAAAAACTATAAAATTGCATACTGTAACCTTTAGTTTTAGTAATATAGCGTACTTGAGTAAAACCCCATTTAATCCAATAAAAATACCCATGGAAACTGGTAGGGTGTTGAACATAATGATTTGCTGCTAAACACGAAATCCCTGCTTTGATAGTCACTAAACAATACTAAATGCAGAACAATGAACAATGCGGTCTATTGTGGAACACTGCGGCTTCAAGTGATCACTCCATATAGGCTGAGTTCCTAACCGGGTTTGAGTTAAGTATGTATATGCATGATGGGTCTTCCCACAACGGCTTAGTTATCGTTCTCATTACTTTTTACGATAATGTAAATTTTTGTGAGAAAATAAAGTGCATTACAAATTAATATTAAGGTAAACTTTGAATTAAATAAGACATACACTTTAAAAGTAGAAATTATTATTCATGTAAACAAATTTAAAGGATGAGTAGTTAACCTAAATTTTTTAGTAGAGCAAGGTCACTTTTAAATTAAATTTTATCAGACATTTTTTACCATTGGATAATATTCCCTATAGAATAAGAATAGGCTGTAATTTGAATTTTAAATCAGTCAGCATTAGCCACTAATTCGCAACGATACAGAAAACTTTAATAGTATATACTCCATAGTCGAATAAGTTTTAATATTTAAATCCATCATGGCCTGAATAATGCTTGCGGTAGTTTACTACTACAACACATACCAAAGATTGTTATCATAGTAAAATTAATTTTAGTATCGTTCTATATCAAACATTTGCCAAATTTTATACGGACTAATTTCTCAAAGATTGACTAATTTACCACAAAGATATATTGATGATACTTTGTGTACTCAACTTTAATATTGTTTGGTGGGGGAGGGAGCAAGCTGGTGTAGATGTTAAGTGCGGTTCTTCGGTCCCTGAGGTCCCGGGTTCAAATCCCGCCAGGTTACCAATGGATTGTATCTAAGTGATAATGTCGCAATCCCTAGGTATAGTCTGAAGTAATGTGAAACACAATCGCGGGCTCGTGCCTAGCGTCGTAGGAAAAAAGAATTGTTTGGTGATATCCAGGACTCGTAAATAGAATAATACACACGGTCGTTCTATAAATAAATAAAGTCCGACGTAACACGGAACCCAAAACGTACCACTTCCTCATTTTTTAGAAAACATATTTTTCCTGCAAAAGGTTCAAACGCGTAACTACAGCTGAGTAAGTTTTCTTATCAATTGTACGCAATTTTTACTTAAATGTAGAGTTAACAAAATCTTTATTATTAATTTCATATTCTAACTTTTGAAGGAATGTTTATAATTATTTAAGACGTACAACATAACAATCTTCCACTTACATGCCCCAAATAACACTCATTATCAACATAATATTAGAGATAGACGTGGTGTTTAGGCCTGATACACAAGTTTATGGTTACACAATTAAAATTATCACCTGATACAATGCGATCAAATATAAGCATTGAAACTAAAACCGTTGAACAGGAAAAATAGTTTATAAACAATACAACAGTTTTAATCAACTAAAAACACGGGTAAAATTGTTTCAATGAAATGGAAAACCCGGTATCATTTTAGAGGTGGAATGAAACCCAATCAGTTTTATCAGAATGGTATTTACAAACGAAGCGCGGTCACATGTCAGGGGTTGTGTGGGCGGTTGGGGGGGGGGGGTATGTGGAGTGGGGTAAATTGTCCCCCTTACAATATTTATACACCGCAGGGCGAGTTTACAGGCTTGGCGTGCCGCTTGCTGCAATGTTTATGCCCAAAGTCTCTCCGACAAAGGACAGATGTAGCTTGACAAATGTATTGACCGTCCAATATTCAAATCGATATGTATTCAATTTAATTCCATTTTAATCTCATAAATATCTGTCTATAAAACTATTAATCCCGATGTGTAACTCACTCACTGATCAGGTGTATAAATGTGTACATACTTCTAGTCAAAATTAAATCTTAAAAAGGAGCATAGGTTGATTTTTACATCGAATTAAAGGCCTTAACAACAGAATAAAATGCCGCAAATTTAAACTCAAACGAACTACCGAGTCAAAAATGACAGCGGTTCAAAGATTCATTGAATTTGCTATGATTATACGGGACCTCCTCAGGGGGGGCAGCCGCTAGGAATCGGAAGAAAATCTTTAAAGTAAGCATAGGTCGATATGCAACTTCAATTTAAAGGTATTTTTTGGTAGACTACAATGCCACGAATTTGAGCCCAAAAGAACATCTGAGTAAAAAATGGTAGCCGTTCAAAGATTCAAAATGGCAGAAACAAGAAATCTTTTAATGGCTGTCATTTTTTTACTAGGTTGTCCGTTTGAGTTAAAATTTGCGACATTGTTTCCTGCTATTAGATACCTTTAATTCAATGTACAAATGAACCTATGCTCCTATTTCAGACTTCCTTCTGACTATTTGCGGGACGTTCCCATGATATAACAGAAAATCGATAGTTCCTTAAAAAAAAGTAGATTTTTAAGTGTAGTGTTGATGTACCAAATCTTATTAATTTATCGGTTGTCGTTAAGAAAATATTAAGCCCGTGCGGGACTTTATATACACCTTGTATAGTCTCCTTAGGTAGTTATATAAACATATGATAAACTAGATACTACTTACTGTATTGATAACATTAAACAGTGTTAACATAGTGTTTGATTTCAGTAACTTCTGGAGTCAGTTGGGAGGAGTGGTGGACGTATGATGGGATTTCAGGTAAGAAAAAAAGAAAATAAAATCATTATATAATATATACAATTTAAATAAATACGTATTTTCCAGATTATAAACACTTCCTAAAAACTATGTATTGGCTTAGAAAAAAATTAATAAATTAAAATGATAAACAAAGCAGCAGCAGTATATCAATCAAAAATACCCTTTGCTTGGAGTGCTAACAGCTGGTTATTTATGTTTGATATTACTAAAACTTAGAATATGTAAAGAATTTTTCTATCTGTTCTAGAAATCTAGTCATTTATTAGATTTCAAATTAAGAAATAAACTTTTGCTTAGTGTTACTGACGGTGACATGCTATATAAAGTTCATAATGCATGTATATTTTGGTTTAAATTACATTGTAGTTAAATATTAATTGACAATTAATTGTTTTATTTGTATTAATACACAATTTTTGTTTACGTTACCTGCCTTGTTCATGGTCGTCTATTTTTGGTATAAAAGTATATTTTCTTTAGTGTAGCTAATATTACTACTATGAATAAATGTGTCCTGTTTAAAAAAAACTATCATTAAACTGGGAAATCAAAAAGAAATATATGCGATTACATTTGGATACGCTGGTATTACATACTGCATATACACATAACAAATATAAGACCGGAATAAAATGTTACGAAGATAATGGTAAGTATAATTGTTATTATTTAAAATACGAATTATTTTCTCTTTAAGCCATTTATAACGTACACAAACCCCAGAGGTAGTGGAGAAGGCAAGGAGTGATGGCTGGGTGGTAACTAACCAAAGAGCAATGGTTGTGGTTTAGCGGGAGTTCTGAGGATCACCAACAACTGAGGTTGTTGGAAATATACATTGTTGTACGTGGGTTTTAAATTTAACAAAATCTTTGAGTTCAAATTCAAACTCAAATTCAAATATATTTATTCAATATATTACATTCATGGCCTCGCCAAGTTTACCAAACTTGTCGGCGAGGACTAATAGAAAATAAAAATGTCAGACAAAGTTTACAGTATTTTTCTAAAGTCTTTTCTAAGTAAAAAAAATGATACTAGTTCTAAGGCGGTATGTGGTAGGCACTTATTTACAACAAGAGTATTTTGGCAGCAAGACTTAATTCAAAAAACATTAAAAGGAAGTGTGACAATAAAAAATAACAATAACATTAGACCATAAGAAGTAGGAAGGAAACTCCTATAACCAACGGCATTCTATCTAGATTGATGATAGCAATCTTTCGTTGTCTTTGGATTTGTGAGTTTATGTTGTGTGGTAGTGGTAGTGGAGTGAGTGAGAGTGTATTTTAGCCTAAAAGAAAAAAGAGTTGCTCGTGTCGTGATTGTTGGTTGAACATAACCTCGCACTAAAAATGCATATTTTTCATAAGCAGAATAAATAAAATTGTAAAAACGCTTTCTTTCTCCTATTCTACCCCAAAAAATAAGTATTTGTGAATTGTGGCCTTGTCGGATTGGTGTGTGTTTTAGAGTGTTGTAATAGTGCTAGCAAACAAAGTTGTATATAGTGTATTGTGTGGTTTTTGTCCTAAGCTAATGGAAGAAACAAAGTTATGAGTATGTAATGTGTCTATGTTTGTATATGTTGTGTTCTATGTAGTTAAATGTCACTTTGGCCTAGAATCAGTTAGTACAAAATCCCTAAATAAACATAATAAAATTTGTTTATATACTTCTGCTGCCTTGAATAAACAATCATTTTTTGGAATTAGAGTATAATTACTCTTGAGACCACCATATTTTAGTAATACCTCTCCAACAGTCTACCTCTATCTGCAAAGCGAGGAATTGAGTTTAAGAAACGATTGCAACCATTATACCCAACCCTTACTAAATCAAATTTAGACGTAAGAAAAAGAATGAAAATTTTTAGATAAACCCTCATCGCGTGATTTGATTTGCAACATTTTATTATTTGAATCTAAAAGTAGACTGTCAGAACAGTACAGCAGAGTACTCAAGTTTGTCTGAGCTCCACAAACAAGTATCAGAACGGGTCACGTACAGTACGGTACTTTGCTGGTTTACGGTCGAACAGGAAACTTTGTAAATTAGAAATAAGGTCTAAAACACATGTTTGTGTGTTGTGTAAAGAAGAACTACAAAATAACTTCGGGCATTAGTTTCAAATAAGGATGGGATGATCTGTGAAGGAGCTGAAAGAAATTCATAAGTTTCAAATCAATAGAAAGTATGGACAGAAAATTAATTTAGGTATATATATTTGTGAGTGTTTAGTGAGTAGTTTCTTTACATATGAGCGAAAATTTTACCTATTCTATAAAAAAATTATATGTTTTGATTCTTTTAATTACTGTCTTGATAATACTAAACGAATTTAGTTGAAAGCCCTGAAATTTATTTGGTTGTGAAGTAATAATAAAATAATCTATATTAAAATCAAAAGATGAAATATGATATCAAAACTCATCTAGTAAACAAAATATCAAACTAGTTTACAAATATTTTACATTTTTTATTACTAAATTGCTGTTACACAACTAAAAGAAGAAAAATTATGGGATTAAAAGAAATTTTAGCGTATTATTTTAATTAAATTTATAAGAAGTCATTATTCATATAAAAGGAAGATATTTATTAGGGTTATAGTTTTAAAATCACTTAAGTTCACACTGAGCTTTAAGATACGTTTATAACTTTATCTGTCTTCATTTATATTAGTCTTGTAAACATTTTCCAGATTTAAAACTGATGACGCGATATCACTTACATAAAAGATCTAATTCATTAAGAAGTTTCCAGTTCCTTTGGGGCGAGAGCAGTTAAATAAATAATTCCACGCTTCTACCGCTTCAATCACCTTAGAAAGCTTTAAAACCTATGGTTTCAAATTATTTTAATCAAGATGCAATTTTAAACATTGATATGTGTATTAAAGGTGCTCTTTTTTTAGACTGAACGTTTTACTAAGACTTATAAAGTAAATTGCATACTTATCTTCGTGTAATTATGAAATACATGTTAATTCTGAGAAGGATCAACTCTTGAATTAATTAGTTGTAAATGTAATTGATGAGTTTTTATAAAATATGTAGCATACTAAATCGCTAATTGACATTCAATTTGTTTCGTAACTGTATCATTACAAGAACTAAATGATCGGTTATATAATTTAAAAGTCAAATTAAGCTGAATCACATAGACTAACATTACAGTTAAATGGATCTGAATAAATTGCATTTTATGACATTCATAAGTTCTTTTCGTGAATTTATTGTGTTTCAAACGAAGCAAAACTTTTCAGAAATCTTAATTAATAGGATACTTATATTATTTTAACAGCTGTTTTACCACCATCTACTTTGTATGAAAAGTTTTAGCTAACTAAAGGAAACTAGAAAAATAACACTCCAGGGTGTCTCAATGAGTGTAAGTAAAAGGCAAAAGATATCTAAACAGAAGAAGAGGTCTCAAGACACCAACTTTTCTCTATCACGTCCAATGTTGGAGTCGCTCTGTTCTGCCTTGGACTCTTAAAGACTACGTCTTCAGTACAAAATATCTGAAAATGCGTTAACGTTTATAGTTGAATTCAATTGTACATTTTAAACGAGTGTACGTTATATTATCATAGACTATCTATGATTGTATTCTTAAGATTACCTAGCTTTTCAGAGTTTTTTCATATCATCCCAAGTAGTCTAGACCCGAGATCGACTCACTTAAGAGATTAGATGTTTAATAATTCAAGGTCTCTACTGATCCAATCGGAGTTGTGAAGTTTATCCAAACTTACCGAACTTATATATGTGGTCATAATGTTGTCAACTGCATAGCCTACCCCGTTAGTTTTCCTATAAAAATTGCCATTCAATTGACATATTTTATTTTAGCTCCAGACAGGTTTCAACTACAGGAAAGTATGACATCTATTTTTACAGTATACAGAAGAGGAAAAATTTCTGGGATGGTTACGTTTTATCTTTGTATTTACTTGTTTCCATGGTTATTCACTTCAAATATTTATAATTGAACTGTTATTAATATTATTCATTGTTTTCATAAAAATATTTATCATCGTTATTGTTTTTCATTATTGATTCAACTATGTACTTTTTATATCTCGTTACTCTTAGCCCTTTCATTGTGCAAGTATTCGCATGTACTGTATTCTTATTATAATTACTTTTGATATTCCTCTCATTATTATAATCTATATGCTATTTATTCACAACTAGTGTACATGTTGCTCGAAATCGAGCAATTGCAAAGTATTACAGCTTGAAAACAAATGACAGTCATTATTTCCGATGAATTTAAAAGAGTCAACTCAAATTACTCAATGATTATTTAGCTAATGGAAATACTCACGATGTTCATAAAAGGTTAAAGTAATCAACTTTTTTTGTAAATACTGTATCTTATCAATTTTTAAAAGCTGATCTCGTTTTTAGTGTTTTCCAAAAAAAATTTCCCCCATACAGCCGCATTAAGTTGTCCATGTTTATCTTCTAGATAATTTACACATTGACTGTTAATTAACATATGTTGTTCTTCTCACTTTTAATTTCTGACTTCAGCTGGAGTTTCATAACTATGTTTCTATGTTTGTTTCCCATGTTAACCTTATGGAGAAAAGGCTGCCAACCTCTAAAAAAAAAAAAATACGAAACATTAAAGGGCCCAGGGCCTCACTCTCAAATTATTTCCCAAAAAAGAAAGTTTCCTGCACAACTTCACGTTACGCTCTTTCCAATGACACCAAAAACATGTCAATCGGTTCTGTTTTGGAGGAGTAATTGTCACAAAAATCCCGCTTGCGTATTAAATAAGTAATTAAATAAGTATAGATATAGATGAGCAATTCACAAAAACTTGTAATCAAGCTGTTAAATTGGCGTAAATCCGTTGGCTAATAAATATATAAAAAGCTAATAAAGATATTGTTACAAAACATGGAACAAAATTACTGGTCATAAGAAAACGTTAATTAGTAACACACTACTTCCTAATGAGGGCGGCCTGCTAGTAGT